CTCTCTCTCTCTCTCTCTCTCTCTCTCTCTCTCTCTCTCTCTCTCTCTCTCTCTCTCTCTCTCTCTAATGCTGTTCCGCCCAAATTTCCAGCCCACCTTTCCCCCAGCCACCACTTCCTCCTTTACCCTCCCCCCATCCCTAGCTCTGCTCTCTATTCCTCCTCCAGCTCCCGTCCTGGGCTTTGACAACCATCAACTAGTCATACATGTATTGCTCACCTGGAGCTGATACAACCGGCATACCGTGTGCCTGAAATCTTGATATCGACTTTAGGTACCCTGGTAAGCACACAAGCAACCACAAAGACAGGAAATGAGCAAATTCGTTCCTCAACACACAAGTGATAACTCAGCCAAGATGGTCTTCAAGCCATCTGGTTTAGACAGTTGGGATCTGGTTCTGACATATACTTCAAACCAACCACAAGCATTTATCAAGAATAGCAAGCACAGTTTTCTATCCAGAACATACACACATTCCTATCCAAAGATAGGGAGGGAGGAGTTTCTGATTACAGCCAGCATTTCGCATCCATTCACCGCATTCTCTCTCTCTCTCTCTCTCTCTCTCTCTCTCTCTCTCTCTCTCTCTCTCTCTCTCTCTCTCTCTCTCTCACACACACACACACACACCCGTCTCTTATACACATCTAGATGTGTATAAGAGACAGCCCCCCTTCTCCTAACACCCCCCGCTACCACCAACGGCGGGGGAACCATCTGAGTTGATCAACGCAAAGCTGAAAACCAAAACAGAGCACAACCGAAGACTGACTGCATCGCACTCATGTCAACGCCTCATAACAGCCACAAATATAATGTTCTTTACAGCAAGGTAATCCTATCCTTTAGATTGGTGGGGACATATTCACAGACTTGCTCATCCCCATGCAGCAATGGTATGTTATGCGGCCACAACCACCTGTCTTTCTGCTTACTTGAACATGCTACTAAACAGACTACAGTCCTCAGAATCCCCATGCGTTACTCGCCTACCCATGTCCATTTACCCCTCTCTACCCACCCTCAGGGAGGGAAGGTGCCGCACGTTTCCGCCTCAACACAGTGAGCGACGGAGGCTCCTGATGATGTCAGTGTCATCATTGGCGGATGACCACCTCCGATCGACAAAATTGCTAATGGTAGATCTCACCACACGCCGTTGTCGGTTTCCCCTTGCATAACATATGATGAAGTTATGAGCCCACTCCCTCCCGCTTGTCATTTATCCACTAAGCTTTCCACTTGTCTCACATAAGAACTCTCTCCTGTCCCAATCAGTTACTCAGTGTACATCTCTCCACTATCTTTTGCCTCTGACCAAGTATATCGTCCCCCGGACGGTCCAAAATGATGCTCAGACCACAGTCCAAACAAATATGAATTTGTTGTCAGGAAGGGCTCATGTACCCCCTAGAAGAATAACTACCATTTCTACAACAACAACAACAACAAAAAAAAAAAAAAAAAAAAAAAGGACAAAAAAAAAGAATCTAACTGAGATGAAAGCCACGCGGATTTCACCTGATCTTCTCAACCAGAGAGAGCTACTCACCTCAAAAGTCAAAAATAATACGCGGATTTCACCTGATCTTCTCAACCAGAGAGAGCTACTCTACTCTACTCTACTCCACTCTACTCCTCCTATGTGCACTCTACTTCCCACAGCTGGACAGGCATACATTCTGCAGTTCGGATTAACTCGTGTCCTGTCCGCACAACAATCAATACCGGGGGTGGGGCCACAATTGCTGGTAAACCACGGAGAGTGACGGTGAGCATTTGCTCGTCTCCGCAGCCTATAACCCTGCCTGCTCCCAAATCCCCCTCTCTGCGTACAGCGATCCAACCAACTTTTCTTAGCATGCTTGCGCAAACACACAAGCTGCAGATCGACTATGGAAACTTTCTGCAGCACGAATGGACAATGGAGAGAAAACCTCTTGTCACTTTGTTGTACCAAAGCGTAATCGTAATCCTCAGGAATCGCACTAAGTCCCGTGATCATGTCATCCCTACTCTTTCGACAGCTGCTCCCGCCTCCAGCAAAGTCCGTCCAAATTTTGCCTTCCGCTAAATAAATATTTGGGTTGGCAACCACCACACAAAGTCCTACCTGGAGAGCGTTGCCGCCAAATGAGACAGCAACCCTCAAAAGCTGTAAGCAACTCCAACAGACTCAAAAAAAAAAAAAATCCTGACTCCTTCCTCTGTGCATGCATAAAACCTGATACAATCTATCTGTAGTCCTAGAAACAGCTGAACGATTAATCACAGCACCACTTTCCCACACGCACAGGCAC